GAGAGAGAGAGAGAGAGAGAGAGAGAGAGAGAGAGAGAGAGAGAGAGAGAGAGAGAGAGAGTTACCTGGTCACTGCACGTGTGCAGACCATCACCATGAAACAGCAGCCGACGATCACCCACCCCCACCCACCATCTGGAGGCAACGCCTTGACTCTCTGCTGTTTTCCAGCACCCATGCCCTCAGCGGACTCCCTGAGGTGCTTTGCAGTCCTGGTTCTGCTGCCAGTCTGGACCTGAGAGGCGATGGTCCTGGTCCTGGGTTTTTTTGGTCCAATAAACCAAGCAAGTGTTCTGAGTGGTGGATCTGTTGCGCTGCAGTGAGTCTGACGGAGGAGGAGTGAGGTGTGTGAAGCTCCTTGGCAGGTATCCAGGTGAACTCCTCCTGCTAAAGAGGAGTTTCACTGTAGGTGGAGCTCATTTTTAGACAAGAAACTTTCATTTAGTGTAGAAACTGGTGAGGTGGACTCTTGAGTCCTGCTGGACTTATTCTGCCACTTTGTGTCTCTGATAGTCATGTAAGGGTCAGCTTACACTTCTTATAACAAGGTTATAAGAGTAATTTAATTAGCAAGGATCTCTTTTATTTTTGGATAAACATTTCTTTAGTGCAARAATGAATGGACACAAAAAGTAACTCTCAGTCAGTGAATGTTGATTTGAACCATAGTATGCGATCATTTATTTTACAAACCATACAAAATTGACTATAGAGTACACCTGATTGTGAATAATTAATTTCCTATAAAAGTTTTGGAACCAACAGTAACAAGCTTTTAACTTCTTAATTGTTAACCACACTTAAATAGAAACACAAACGTCAGCTTGGATGTTAAATACCAGACATTTGAGGCTGTTTATCTTAGAGGTGGCAAGAGCAAGGTTAAGAAAAAGGTTGAAGAAAGGTGTTAGTTTTTCTACTCTTTATCTTAAATAATGTGGGTTTTAACCAGAAGGGCGAAGCGTTCTGCGCTCAGCTTTGGTCAGACCTCGACATCACACACAGCCATCTTTTACCTTGAGATGATGTTCTGTCACCTGCCAGGTAGGCGGGGGCGCTGCCGGAGAATCTGTCTTTAGACCGTCGAACAGGGAACCCCAAGGCGTGCTCTTTGACTCGTTTACGTCCACGTCAGCCGTAACCAGAAGACAAGGCCTCGACTGGAACCCAGGTTGTAAATAAAACTTCAGTCTGGAGAGTTTCTGAAGGTGGATAAACCAGGCGTGGTTTTCCACACTGTGAGGTTTCCCCGTTGGCGATGAAGGGGCCAAACCTGACACAGTTTTCAGCTTTTTGATTCCCCGGAGAGAATCTAGCAGTGGTGTGTGCCGGCCTGGCCTGGTGACTGCCTCCTGGGGCTCGAGGCCTCTGGACCTGTCGGGCTTTGGCCTGGAGGGGGTG